AGAAGAGAGACTACTATAGAAGTCCAATGCTGGGTTAATAATCCGGACTTCGTTTCGGATAACATGTCGGTAAATCTCGAAGCTTCTGTCATCCGACCGGTAGTTGTCGCTTCGGAAAATCAACCGTTTTTTTTTTTTACAAACTTGGCTTACAACAGCAAAGTAAAAAGACTTATGCGTTCTATGATCCCACCACTTCTACTATTTACCCTTACTGCGTTCACTCTTTGCTCCGACTCAATACAGCGTTGAGGAGCTCATTTTCATAGCAACGCCATCTCCTGGTTCTATTTAGAATTTCTTACTCACGTTTTAGTCCTCTATTTGAATTGGACTTCTATACTAGTCTCTTCTCTGGTTATAAGATCGTCCAATAGTAGGCACCACGGTAAGGAGCCTTAGTTCCTAGTAAAAGTAATCCTACTCGCCGCTAGATGGCGGTAGGTTGTTTAAAATAGGTTTATGTGTCCTACTGATTTTTAAATTGTCTCGGAAAAAAATGGTAAACATTCTGAATGTTCTACTTTTATATAACGTTGGTCATACTGTATTTGTACATACCATATTCAAAACGGTCCTACTGTTCCATTTTTGGAAATGCTCGAGTTATTAAACGTCATTTATTCGTACACAAAAGTTCATCTTGTCAAGATACGTCCTTTTTAAGATTAAATGATTCTTATTTAGATGAAGAGACCCTTCCGAGTGAATTATGTCCGACGTCCGATTTTACCTTTTTGTATGTATTGCAGATGTAATTATACAAAAAGAATGTTCTAGTTTTGTTCGTTTTTTAAAGGTACATGGTGAGTGCAGGTGAGTGGGTGGGTTTATATAGTTATAAATATAAACATGTATGTGAGTATATGTTGGGACAAGCGTGTGGATAAGCATTTAAGTAAGTACAGTGGTGGTGTGTGTGTATACATGTCGAAGCCAATGGCCGAACGTTTATTTGTAACATCTGAGAGGAGTCGTTCTACTGCAATTCTCCCAGTTTGGTAGCCTATATAGAACTTGCCGAGAGCATTCACCCTCGCGAACGAAGAAACGGCATCAGCCCCACGTTCTTGCTGCATATTTTATGGAGACAACGTTTACTCGCAATCTCTTGAGGTTTACGTGTGTGTGTGTGTGTGTGTGTGTGAGTGCGTGCTAGCCCTCGTATGTGTGGGGGGAGGTTGTGGAATTTCGATGTCATCTAGCGGCCAGTGGACAAAACACAAGTACAGTGGCATTACGACAATGCAGCAAAAAGAAGATGAGGTAAAGGTCTAGATGATGTCCCCCACCCCGAAGGAAAGAGGATGTGTCCCCCACCCAGAGGCGGATTAAATGTCGAAAGCGCTCTAGGCTAGCACCTCAAGGGCGCCCCTCTGGCGGTCATATTTTTTGCAAAATACTTTTTTTTTATTAGGTACTTCCTTATTGTTTTTTTTTAGGTTTAAAAATTTCCGCGCGCGCCCCTTTTTAACCTTGCGCCCCTAGGCATATGCCTACTTTGCCTTATGGACAATCCGCCACTGATTGCGAGGAAGAATATTTAATAAAAACGTTCCAAACAAAAACAAATGACGAAATCTATACATTGGAATTGTATGTATGTAGGTAATCAAAAAAAGGTTAAATCTCGTAGAGTCTGGACTGTTAAAAAGGGTAAAACATTAGTCTTCTCCCTAACTCCTCCTCTCTCCTGTAACACAAAAGACGACAGTGCGCCACTGTCCTGTTTAGGTTATTAGCGAAAGAATTTTCGTGGGTTTTATGGCTATAGCTCACTTCTGTAGGCTTCTCTTCGTTTGGTTTTTCTACGTTGTTTCGAAGTGGAATTTAAATCATTTCACTCGAAATCTTACAATTTTGCTTAAATGCGTTTTATCTATCTTAACTTCCTATGCGTCAAAAATCTTAATTAGAATTGTACAGAGAAGGATGGAAAAAGGGCGGAAGAACTATTAGGGGAAGATCAGTTTGGGTTCAGAAGAAATACGGGAATGAGGGTGGCCATTTTAGCTTTACGAGTAACAACAGTAAATACAGTACAAATGTCGGGATAGATATACAGCGGCAAAAGATTAGTATGCTTAGATTTGCAGATGATAAAGCAGTGTTAGCAGCTAGCAAGGAGGAGTTGGATATAGTTTTAAATAAAATGGAAGCGATATTGACAAAACTATATTGTATGGAAGTAAATAAAAGTAAAACAAAAATGCTGGTATGCAAGGTAAAAAACAGTAGGGAAAGAGCGAATATAAAGATAGGAGACGAAAAATTAGAAAAAGCGACTGATTTTAGATATCTAGGAAGTCAGATAAGTCAGGACGGAAGGAGTAGTAGGGATATACAGCAGAGGATAGTGCAGGGTCGAAACATGGACAGTGGGCGCGACGGAAAAAGAAAGGTTAGAAGCGTTTGAAATGTGGTGTTACAGGCGAATGATGAGGATACCGTGGATAGAGAAGGTTAGAAATGAAGAGGTAGTAGAAAGATTAGAAGAACATAGGACTCTATAGAAGTCAATGAGAAATAAGCGAGATAGGTTGGTAGGACACTTTCTCCGGCATGAAGGTCTTGTCAAAGACATCTTAGAGGCAGAAACAGGAGTTAATAGGAGTAGAAGTAGGCCTAGATTAGATTAATTTTCGCAAATAGTTAAGGATGTGAGATGTTATAGTTTTAGGGAAATGCGAAGATTAGCTCAGGATAGGAAAGAGTGGAGGTGCGTGTCCAACCAGTCTTAAAACTGACGACCTTTGATGATGGTCGTCTGTTTTGAGGACTTATTTCTTTAGTACTAAGCACGCCACAAATTTTCATTTTTTGTGATAAGAACGATCGAGCGTTGAGGAATCCAAAAGATTCTACCTTTTATTGATACGTAATTGACAAAATGTGAATGAATTTTGTTGTGGGACTTACGTGGCGCTTGGGTTTATACAATCGCGAATGTTGTTAGTTTCGGCCCTGGTTTCAGCAACCGGGGAATTTGCTAATTCCGGTGTTCCATTTTGCACACTGTCGCCGAATGCAATAGCAACTAGGCAGATTGAGAATACAAAAGTGATGATGCTATAAAAAGACATCGTGACTACTTGCACTTACACTGATAATATGCAAAATTGTCTATTACAGTTCTTGTTTTATAGTATTTCTTATCATTTTATCGTAAACTAGTTAACAAAGCAGAAATAGGAGCGGCCATAAAAATTTGTAAGGAGCACTTGAATGAGTTGTGATGTTTGATATAAAATGTAGAATTTTAATACGTGGGTCGATGGTAGATCTGCCGGTCGAACAGGGTTGGCGGTCAAAGATTGCTAGGCGTCTGCTTGTGGTCACAAGTCGATGTAAATAAACCTACGTATATAAGGGATAAATATTCGATGATTGAATAATGTCGATGCGTTGCGTCGTTTTCCTGATTTACCCACTTGTAACAAACGGTGGTATAGATCATAATGCCAATGTCAGCTAGGATCAAATTGAAATATCAGCAATCACTTTTTGTAAAAGTGAGAATTCTATTAGTTTTGTCTGAATTTTCTTAGAGAAATTTATATAAACACTTATATAATTGCTTATACGAACAGGATAAGGTCAGTGCAGTTTTTTACTGTGTGGTTGACGCATTAATTTGGAAAATTTTGACGACTGCTTCTAACAGAATTATACCAGACGGCGATGATATAAAAATATAGAAGAATTTAATATCTCCTTTAGTTCTCGTTATGATTATTGGTATATAAGTATATCAAGGTTTCTTTGTGTCCCAAAATGATGAAATGTGCAGTACCATTAAGACACTTGTAAGATAATCTTGATGTTATTAACAATTGCATAAAAGTTGGAAAATTTACCGTGTAGAGGGCGTAAGTATAGAAATTAAAATACGCATTTNTGTCTAATGACAAAAAAACTGTGAATGTTGTATATAAAGACATTCTGTAGTATATTTAGTATGTTCAGGGGGTATCTTTTGAAGATTTCCCCTTTTCGATAATAATCTAAACAAAACAAAAACATATTTAGTATCAGCATTGCACCCGTGCGAAGCTGGGGAGGGTCTCTAGTTCTACATATAAACTTAAATTGACAAATGAAAAATAACTTTTCGGAGTTGAATTTGATTCTAAAAGATTTTATAAAAGACTAGGGTTCCGGGTACGTAAGCACGACAACTTTTCTTCCGAAAATACCGCTCTTTCTTATCATTAGTTTCATCCCTTTGCATTTTGAGCAGAGACATAGTTGGAAAGGTTTAGCTGTTTTTTGTTTAATACTCACGTCCCGTTAGCGTTACCACTTGGTTATTTCGAAGTAAAAGAAAATAATCATTAGCCAGAAATTCAAAATTATCTCATTTTCCCAGGTTCACATCATTATAAATTCATGCATAGAAACTTACATAATTTTATTTAATTTTACGGATGTTTATTTATTCCTGATTTACCCACTTGTAACAAACGGTGGTATAGATCATAATGCCAATGTCAGCTAGGATCAAATTGAAATATCAGCAATCACTTTTTGTAAAAGTGAGAATTCTATTAGTTTTGTCTGAATTTTCTTAGAGAAATTTATATAAACACTTATATAATTGCTTATACGAACAGGATAAGGTCAGTGCAGTTTTTTACTGTGTGGTTGACGCATTAATTTGGAAAATTTTGACGACTGCTTCTAACAGAATTATACCAGACGGCGATGATATAAAAATATAGAAGAATTTAATATCTCCTTTAGTTCTCGTTATGATTATTGGTATATAAGTATATCAAGGTTTCTTTGTGTCCCAAAATGATGAAATGTGCAGTACCATTAAGACACTTGTAAGATAATCTTGATGTTATTAACAATTGCATAAAAGTTGGAAAATTTACCGTGTAGAGGGCGTAAGTATAGAAATTAAAATACGCATTTCGTAGTTACAAAACATTCATAATCGTTTATTATTATTTTACAATTTATTTATTACTCACAATAATAATAGTTTTTTTTTAATTATTGAGGCGAAAACAGTAAAAATAGATAAAAATTTTAGTAAACGTTTTCTCTTATGCATCTGTGTAAATTCTCACTGTGAAATGTAAACCTCTACTCCACTGTGATGTCAATTCAATTTCGACAGAGTAACTGTTCAAGCCTCCGGATGAAATCGATGGATATCCTCCAGTACCATCACCATCATTGTCAGTCACCTTTTAATGATAAATAATTTATTTATTATCCTGTTATGCCAGTGTAAAATTCCACGTAATAACAAATTAATAGTACTTAAGTTATTTCTACAGATAATTTTGTTTATTATATGAATCAGTGTCGTTTGTCTGTCATCAAAATCGATCGCACAATACTGGATCGTTTTTTAGATCTAAGCATCTAAGGTTTTCATTTTCAATAATAATTATCGTGATGTTCCTATTTTATATCAAGCGACTGATTTTCTGCAGTCAATGATTTCACTTCATTTTTAAGCAGCAAATTGCTTTATAAAAAAATTGTTTAAAATTATAAATATTGCTTAATTGTTTTAACTTTTACGTAGAAAAAACTATCTATGTAGATATTTGCAAATATTTCTACTTACCACAATACAAGTGATGAGATCTTGGTTAACAGAGCTGCTCGGAAACGATACAGTTTTTGTGGTATAACCCAGGAATCTTGCTCGTTCGTTAATTACTGTGGAATATATCAACGTTTTGCTGAAAATATAATTAAATTAATCAAATAAGAATAACTTGAGCCGTCAGTTACTAACAATTCCATTATTCTGTATTTTCTCACCTCGTATACAACAAATAAAAAGCCGTGAGATATTCTAGATAGTTTAAATCAAAATGACCTTTTTTTGGTAGATATTTAGATCTTTCTGTTATTGAAAAGTTGTTTAAATTGTAAATAAAATTATTTATTTATTGAAGAATTACTATTAACGGCGTGGTAAATATCATCAGTACCACCATGCTACAATTTAATCCACGGTGTAGCTCCCCATATGGGACATGCACGTGACCAAATCGAACAAAGAAATTCATGATGATTAGTGTTCTGTGGAAACTGCCAGACGCGGATCGCGATTTCGATTTTACTTGATCTCATCAGCGCGTAGTAGACAGTTTCAGCAGAGCATTGATCATCATGACGTTCTTTGTTTGATTTATTTAAACCCACTTTAAAATAAACTAAAAGGAATAGTTTATCAAGTGCTGCTAGTTGATCGTTTGAGACAGTAAGAATGTTTTTCAAAATTAAATTTGTTAATTTCAATTTAATAACTAATAATGAAAAAGAATTCCAATTCCGCAATTAAAAAATTCTGAATGATTAAGTATTATTTTTAAATTTACTTTTTACCTATTTGCTATGTAATACAACTAAAAATTGAAATAAATAAATTTTTGTCTGGTTATTTTTGCTCCTTTGCGCTAGCTCGAAAACATATTTCTATTTAATTAATTAATAAATTTGTTTAATACAGGGTTTAATTTGACATTTATTGATCGATCTACTTACTTGGCAGCTGCGTTTGTGCAGTCGTTTATATTATGTGAGACAGCTCTTGTTTCGTCAGAATCTGAAATACACAACGCTGCACCGAATAAGAGCATCGAAAGAATACAGAAAACGAAATTGTAGGAAACCATTGTTAATTATTTTGAGACTCGCTGTCGATACAGTATAAAACTCGTTTAGCAATCTGGTTTTTATACTATCATTTTTTTTCTAATCTCTCTTGCTATCTATAATATCGTAGTTCGCCAAGAATGTGATAATAAAGAAGCTGCAAAGGAAAATTTATTATTTTGGAAATCTCTTATCTTCTAGGACATGGAAATATTCTGTTGCATATAATCATTATCTTTAGAAAAATACGACATGCTATAGGAAAATTCGTAAAATACTTTGAGTCATTTATATATGGCATAAATAATAAAGCAATATAAGTCTATTAAATACAATCTAAAGCTTTTTTATTGATAGAGAGATTTTGAGGGATTAGTTAGTTTAGGACAGCTTTCTGAAAAGTAGGTGATATTTTCAAATAGAAGTGGATAAAAGATATATTTCATACTTTCACCAAAATATGCATTTATGCTCGAGAGACGTAAAAAAAAAATGCCAACAAAGAAATGTATAATTTCAGTGTACAGTGAATATTTTGTCTTAGGTCTACATATAACTCCTAAACAATGAAAACAGTGCATAAAGCATTAAGACGTTTAAGGGATTCATAATTATAATAGGCAAGGAAATCCAGAAAATTAAAAATTTATTTTGTTTTGAACGCGAGGAAACAATAACAATTGTCTGTTTTGTGTTATCAATGGCTTTCATTAATAAATAATTTATTGTTTTGTGTATTGACTAATACATTTATATTGCTTGTTTTTAACATTTTTATACGTTACACGATGAGACATCGTCTCAAATTAATCTTTACTTTTTGCGAGTAAAACTAATTCCTTTTATAACGACTGCATTTTTTGTATTTTGATCTATTTTAGAGTTTTTGTTTTTATACGAAATTTGCTTTATAATAAGGAGGGAATGGAAGTAGACCTATACAATATTTGATAGCAAACCTTTTTAAAATTATATGTACAAAGGCAATAATATTGTTTCCTTTGGTTTTGTAAACAGTAGGAGCCATTTCTATTTCTAGAATTCTTTTATCGATTATCATAATGACTGTAAAATTAATTTTTTTTAGTATCACTTAAGCATACTTCAATTAAAGCGCTATCGCGTATAACGCTCGCCGAATGATGAAAACCTTGGCACTTATTTGTTTAGATACTTAGAACTACTTCGCATGATATAATTTCAATCAAATGACTATTACAATATATACAAAATAAATTTATTGATATTAAGTAAATAAATAAATAAATAAATTAGTTAAGGTGTCATCCCGTTGTGTCCAGATCGTCAGATAACGTAATTAGTTTGAACGATCAGAGGACGTCGCCATAGATGTCTACCCTATAATACAGTCCCTTGTTGAATTGAGATCGTATTAAAAGCTCTGCGAAAAAGCTTCCCACACCTCCTCCAACAACAGATGGGAAACCGCTTGAGCCGTCTGTGGAAATGTCTGTTACCTGAAAGAAATATTAAAATTTTAGGATTATCGTATTAAAAAGAAAATTTATATTATTTAAATTAAAGTCTCGAAATGTGCAAATTTGTTGGGTATTTTTGTTGAAGATTATCAACAAGATAACGGTGGAGTACTCTGTTAATTATTTTATTATTCATTCCTTTTTCTAACGGTAAAATAGCGATTTAAATATGAAAAGTATAATAACAACAAAAACGAGTACTTACTATAAGGCAGCTGATCCGTTTGGAATTCGTAGAAGTTGTTTCAGGATAGTAAACTGTCTTTTGAATAAATTGAAGGAATTTAGCTGGCTCGTTGACGATATGAGAGAATAATAACATTTTACTGAAACAAAAATAAAAATAAAATTGTAATTTAAATTAAATAAAGTTTAAAACGTTTACAAGAGACACAATGTATGAAAAATAACTAAAATTTTATAACCAGTAAAAATCTGGTTTATCTTTTAATTGCTCTTATTATAATTATAATTAATGTATAGATTTATTAGAACGGAGAACAATTTATGAAATAACTTTTAAAAGCAACAAATTAAAGTGTTTTTAATAAGTTACTGTAAGAAATACAATGTCGTCTAATAAAATACGTAACTAATAGTAAAAAATTTCACAAAATTGTCTGGTACCTTTTTTGCAATAAAAATTTTCAGAAATAGTACTGGTATGCAGTAGGAATTTAGTTTTATGTTTTAAGCCCAAAAAGTTTAAACATTTCCTTACAATGGCGATTACGCGACAAAATACGTTTTATTTGCCCTTTGTCTGCTTTAGCGAAGCAGGATTAGTAAAATTAGTACTTATAAAAAATTTGCTCGTTTCTTACCTTTTAGCGGGATTTTCACATTCGTAAATGTTGTGAGTATCCCTATTTTCAATGGCAGGTGCTGCACGTACCTCTCCATATTCCAGAATTAGCAGGAGAGCAGTAAAAACAACACCCGCGTTAAAAATCATAGTTAATGGGCTAGTAAGCAAACAAATCGAGTAAATAACGTTATAATTACAGTTACTTTTGTTGCATTGTGATTTCTTTAAATAGTTTTCACATTATAAAGGCTCTCATGTGTGACATTTGGTCAAACACCGTTTTATTTTATCTGATTTACAACAATGGACATGTGTAACACTCTTCAAAAAGTGGGTTAGTTAACCTTCACCTACTGAAATCATTTGATTACAGTTTTAAAAATAACCCTTTTTGCGTTGAGTAAATGTTGTGCAATATTGACTTTCACGGTTCCGCGAACCCTAAACAACATTAATAAAAGTAAAATAAAGCGTTATTGGAAGAAGTTGCTACTGACAAGGGACAGTAAATAAAAGTTGAATAAAACTTAATGCTTATGCATAATTTACTTTCAACATTACGTAAATATAAAAAAAAGCAATTCGCGTATTTGGGAAATGATTGTAAAGTTTAGACAAACATACTTATAGTTTTACATTTGGTTTTATTTTTTTACGCATTTTTCAAATTAGTATCATCCCGAGATAAAATGTTCAGTCTCTCAGAGTCTCTGAAAGCGAGTCTCCGTCTCTCATCGAGTCTCTCTGGTGTCGCTGAGAGAGACTGTCGAGAGACTGTAAAAAAAAACTGTTTAGCGTCTCTGAACGAAAGACTCGAGTCGCTCATAGAGAGATACTCATTTCGTATCCAGTCTCTGAACGAGAGACTCGAATCTCTCAATGAGTGGTGTCTCGATAGACATGGTTAAAATTTTTTAAGTTCAACATATTTCAGAGAACCCAGTCTCTCTACGAGAGAGAGAGATTTTTCAGTTTCAGTTTTTCAGAGACGCTAAAATACTGTGAAAGACTGAGAATCTGGAGAGAGACTGAAACTTTTTTCTAGGGATTTTGTTCAATACGCTATTTCTTCCCCTAGTTTTAATGTGTATAAAACCAATAAAGACATTATCGCCCTCTTTTTAGCCTTGATTCTTTTTTTGAAGATTCAAATATAAGTATTTCCTGTAAATTGATGGGTACAGTTTAAAGGAACCTATATATTTATTTTTACTAGTTACTCTCAAAGTTTTACATTGCAGTTTTTGATGTAGTTCTAAATTGTTAGTATATAGTCTTCTCAAAGCAATTATTCCATTAGTTATAACACTGTACACCGTTTCTATAACAGGTACGAGATTATCTATGATATAAAAGTGGTCCTAATGTTCCACCTTGTGGTACCCCGCGGACGAGAAATTAGAGGTCTGCCGATGTATGGAGTAGTACGCTCTATGTCTATCTCTTTTGGGTCCTAAACAGATGCTGTAAAACTAATTGAATGTGAATTTTATGCAAACTCAGAAAATATGATAGTAATAAACGCAATGCTTGTGAATTCTAATGGTACATGCCTGCAGTATACGTATTATTTTGCATAAAAGGTTTATAACGTCTGGGTCATTTTGACATTCCTCGTTGGACGTCCGTTTCTAACCCATTATTTTCTCTTTATAAGCAAGTGAGTTAACAAAATAGACGTAAACGTAATATGAATTATTTATTTTAAAACAAGAAGTTATTGTTTTGAATTCTACGATGCTTGTACTTGCTTCAGACAGCTCTGCATTAACAGAGAACTAATTTTTTCCAATAAAATAAATCGAAGTGGTCTGTGTTCTGTCGAAACTGCCAGACGCGGATCGCGAGTTCGATTTTTTGGATCTCATCAGCGCGTCGCAGACACCTCCGACAGAACACAGACCAACTTTTACCTGCTGTCTTAACAACATCCAAAAAGATCGAAATCGCGATCCGCGTCTGGCAGTTTCGACAGAATACAGACCACTTCGAATTATTTTATTCGATTATGGTAACGTGCCTACCACGTTGAGGTTAGCTACGCCGGGATTCGTTTCAGCAAGTAGATGTCCATATATTTAAATGGACCTTGTTGGAGTATACGTAATCCTAAAATGTAGCATCGTACTACAGATGGCGTTTACCGCGCCATTTGTAGTATTTTCATTTTTTCCTTTTATTAATAAAACCGCTTTCAGTCAATTCTTTGTATTTTTTTTTTCGTTCCAAAATTTGATTATGAATTTCAACTTTCTCATTCATCTTCTTGTATAAACATTGCAGGTTTTTTTAAGTGTGGTAGTGTAGGGGAGCCGCTGATCTAATACCGGAAAGTGTAACAAAAATGTGCCATCAATGGAATTAGAGTCTATACTTAGGTGCACGTGTAGAAAGCTAATCTAATTTGTCGTCGGGCGGTAAGAGAAGCACTAAAAAGGTGTGTAAACGTATCTAAATAGGGAACAGGGGTAGGTCGATCAGCTACTAACTTGGAATTTCTTCCAAAGAAAACATCACCGCGATCGATATCACTCCTATAAGTGCTTCGCGGAGAAGAATTAACGTAATTGTTTACGTTATGAAATATTGTTGACTTATGAAGGAAAAATATAAGGAAGTGGCTAAAAAAATCCCACTACGCTGAAAGTCTATCGTTATTTCAATCGGCCACCCTAGCGCGGCTATTTATTCGTTTATTTGTTTTACGATTCCGCCTTACATTAGCTGATAAATGTCGGATACAAAATAGCGTCGTGGTCGTTAAATCTACAAGTTGTCACGCCAAACGTTAATGGCCTAGTGGTATCGACAGTCGGCTGTCATGCAGGGGGACCCGGCATCTGTGCTCAGCCGATGCTATAGCTTTTTTTTTTATTTTATGTTTATTAACCTTTTACCAATTGCTCTTATAAATTAAACGAAGAATGCTTTATTAATCATAGGATTACTGCAGACAGTTAAAAAGGTAAAAAGGCATTGCATTGCATTGTAACAATTTTGTGTTTATTAAAGATCACATGTTTAGGTATTATTTAATTTGAAAACAAATTAGTCGATTTCTGTTCAAATGGCAAGCCAGTTTCTATAATTAGGTAACACAAATGTTTCTTAACCAACACAACTTTGAAAATATTATTAAAGTCAGAACTCCTAGTAAATTGTGCACGTATCTTGAGATAGCATTGGTAACAAATTGTGTCAGAAGCAGAAACTTGTAGTACAATAATCGCAAAATTTGTTTTAGTTTAATGTGCACTGTGGGAACTGTTAAGGGTAACATATTGGCTGCTGTCTTAAATTGGCAAAAGTTGTAGCTTTTGTAAAAATTAAAAAAGTTTCATCAAACACGCCTCTACATAATGCAGCAAGTTACATCAGGATTTTTAAAATTCTCATGAGTTAGAAGTATTTCTAAGTCTACAATGAATGTAAAGTAGACCATGAATTGTCACTTAAATGATTTGCTTTAGATAATTATAGGAATTAACTAATTTAGTTCGTGCTCGCTGCTAACTTCATCCTGTTAACTCTCCAAAAGAAAAGCATACCCTCAATAACATCCCTCTCTGTTAAATATAAATCATACTTTGCGTCATTGTTACACTAAAATAGTTTCTCTGAAGGAATTTCGGTAGAATTTAAGGAGCACTTATTAGGCCACCTTTAGAACCTGGGGGAAGTCTGCGTATTCCTTGGGGAACGGGCGCAGGAATGCGAGACGATCCTTTATAAACGCACGTTCTGTTTCTATTACGGTCAAAAAGTTAGGTGTAGGCACTAAATCATACACAAAAAACGTCAAGGCGTTTCGTTTTCTTTCTCTTCGTCCCACGACGTTTCTGCTCGGTAAACGATGGTGTTTACCCTAATATATAATACCATATGGGATGAGATTGCGTGCGTGTGTTGTGAATCATCATAAATATATAAAAAAGGGGCCAACAAGATGTGACGTTTCCTCCATTACGTTGCGACTATAATAAATTTTTTACATGTAATCGTAAATCTCCCAAAAAGTTTTATTACATTCTGATTAAACTACTTAAATACTACTTTTGTAGGTTTAATCTGAAATAAATTTTTGTAAACTGCTTTATTTTGTTCAATTTAAAACAATCAATTCTTCTATAGCAGTAATTTTATGTAAGGGAAGAAAAAGTAAAGAAAGGGCTACATATAGGAAAAGAAAAATTCTCAGGGGCGCAACAACGTTACAGTTTGACTGGGTGCTTTCATCATAATACTATAAATGACTAAAAAAAAAGGTCACCAATGTATTGAATTAAAATATGTACTTGAAAAGATCGAGTTCGACTGCTCATTTACGAGCTTTAAGTATTTGAACCGAACTTTCAAGTTGGGTTATTATCTGAATCTACTGGAATTGATTGGGTGCCCAACCCGATCGAGTGGATGGCCGGGCACCCGTGGACCCCCCTTGTTGCGCCCCTGGAAGAACGGACTGATTTTCGGTATCTGTTAAGAATTCACATATCTCAGATAATTCCTTTTAATACTTCTGAATAATTCCGAATTAAGTTTATTTTGTTTAATAAATTCGTGAACTTCTAAAATTTATTTCAATAGTTGTGAATAACTAAAAATAGGCCTTCAGTTTTTGTACCAACTAAATTTCTTTGGTTTAAAGGTGCTGTTTTGGGAAATATAGGAAATGTGCGGCAAAAAAGTAGAGAATAAAAAAAATTAATCAGGATGCGCTGCAATCAGTGGGATTACTTTAAAATCCTGCAGCATCTTGTCAGGTTTGTGAGGGGTGTAGAGTTGAGAGCAATGAGATATTGAAACAAAAACAAAATAAAAGAAAACGAACCTTTTAAGTTACCGTAGGTAAATATGAGGATCTGTTTATTATATTCCTGTTAATTTGTTAATTTCTTGACCCAATTCCATCAGAAAACCATGTTACATGGCGGCATTCACTTGGTAAAAAAAATAAAAACAATAGCGGCAAGGGTGATTTTTTTTTACATAATATCGGCAGACACTTTATTCTCTCTGCTTCACCTTTGCCCATTCATTCGAATGATTAATGACATTATTACAGAGTCGAACCCATGTTAAAACATGCAAGTCTAATAACGATGATGTATCACTTCACCTTTGTGTGTAATCGCGGGCTTGAAGCTTCTCCATCAAAAATCCAGTTCGTAAATTCAAATTGATCGACCTGTCCGTCTGACACCCCTAATACATCGCGTCCCTCTGCCTAATGCTTTGTTGAAATGTATCTCCTTTTTCGACTCTAATTGACATGTTGGCATTGCAATGTCCAATTTTGTTATTAATCATATAAACATAACTGAAGGTTTTAAAGAGCATGGGATTTCATATATTACGTTATTTATTATTATTAACACGAAACAAAAATTAAATGAAAATAAAAATTTTAATGTTCTATTTCTTTCTAACTAGAAACAGTTCGGAGCCTGTTGCCCTTAGTATCTTCGATGACATTTTGATCTGCTTAAGTCTTCTTTGAACAATATTGGGGACGAAATATAGATTGCACTTATACACATTTGTCAATCGTTGGGCAATAATATCAGATGTGATGAAACGCATTAATACAGGGTGGTTTTTTTTCGGTTACTGTATGAACCAGTTTGCTGAAATCGTACAACATTATACGAGGTT